GGGGGGGGCGGCTTGTTTTACAACGTCGTTGCCAAGCGACGAAAACCCAACCCCGATGGCAAACACCGTGGAGGGGTGGACTACGGGGAGGGGCAACAGATTACCTGTATTTTGGCATGCATCCGCAGATAGGCTATCATACATGTCACATGAAAGAAGGGGTTGCTCGACGGAGAAGTGCTTGTTGAAATTTGCTGTGAAGCTTCAGTGACACCGGCCATTCTGTAACATTCGAGAACGTGCAATAGTATTCCACACGAGAAGCACTACTTGCCTTGGGTGGATGATTTACTGCTGACACCGATCGATGTTGCAACCCTCTCCTTGCCCCTCCTATTTCATCAGGCTGGTTGGGCGCGTGTTCGGGGGGCTTCCGAATGGCCGCCTAGGACGGCGGTCGATCAAGGCGGGGGGATCGGCGGGAAACCCCATTCTACGGGTTGACCCCGTGACGGAGCCATCGACCCCGTCTTCCTCTTCACCGGACCTCGGCATCTTCAACACTTTCCCCCGGAGTGAAGGTGCGTTTGTTGTTGCACTGCGGAAACACACGCATCTTCACTCGGTGGGACGAGTATTTAGGGGGCTTCCAGGCCGGCGGTCAATCAAGGGGAGACAATCGGTGGGGGACATTGTTCTACGGGTTGACCCCGTGACGGAGCCGTCGACTCCTTCTCCCCCTTCGCTGGACCTCCGCAACTTCAACGCGCCAGGCACTCCTTTCCCCCAGAGTTGAGGTGCGTTTTAACAACAAACGTACCTCCACTCCGGGGGAAAGGGGTGTCTGGCGTGTTGAAGGAGCCGAGGTCCGGCGAAGAGCAAGCCGGAGTCGATGACTCCGTCACGGGGTCAACCCGTAGGACAGGGTTTTCCGCCGATTGCCTCGCCTTGATCGACCGCCGTACTAGGCGGTCGTTCGGGAGCCCTCCAAATACTCGTTTCACCGAGTGAGGGTGCGCTTGTTTCCGTAGCAGCAACGCCGCCGGTCCACGCAAAATATGGTCGCACACCCAACAAGGCGGGGGTTAAAGACCCGCTACCTCGCTGTATTTTTGTGTTGAGTTAATATTTTCGCCAAAATCTCCCGCCCCCTCTACTCTCAAACCACCGATGATGCGCTTTGGGTTGGTTGCTGTCCCAGGATAGGATCGTGTCGAGGAGGGGGCGGCAACTAAGCAGATACCATTCTGTTTGCTGGCAATTTCCTCTTGTGTTGGGTTCTTTCAATCCCTGTCGGGGTCATGTTTAGCTGCCAGCGACGCTATGCTTTTGTGTTACACTGCTGTCACCGCTATATCACAGAGGTTGGTCTACACTGCTGTGAGATCGGTAGGCCCGAGCGAGCTTTGGAAAGAGAAATGTAGATAGGTTCTTATCAACTGACTCCCTGGTCAGGCTTTGATGGGTGCTAGATGAGAGTGAGCACAAAGGGGCGAAGGCGCGCTTGTGTCTCATCTCAACAACAAAACAAAACAAAAAACAAGCAGCAAAAACACAGCAGGTTCCGAGGGTCTCCGGGGTAATGGCCCCAGTACCGGAATTTCGGGGTTCAGAACAAAGATATAGTAGCTGTCGCTAAAACGAGCGACAGCTGATAGATGTAACTGTCGTCAGACGTGTGCGTCCGCGGGAGGTGGAAGAGACCCTTTCTTCTTCTTTTTCTCTTTGCAATTCACGTCATTGGTTACCCGCGACGGCGCTGAAGACGCCCATGTCCGTGTACTTGACCCTCGTACTCTGTGCTAACTCCCCAAGTCTAACCTCTTCCTGCAGCCTAGCCTTCATCGTCGGCGAATTTCCAAGGTTACCAATCCTGTCGAAACTCATGGGCTCTACCATGAGGTCCACAAGTCTCTTCGCCCTACTGAGACAGACGAAAGTAAGCCCCGTGCAGGCCTCCTTGGGCCCCAAGTCAATGACGGCCTTGGCTAAAGTCTGCCCCTGGGACTTGTGCATCGTAATTGCCCAGCAGAGCCTAAGGGGCAGCTGCGTCCTGACCTGCGTCCCCCCGTCCTGCCAGGTGGTGTCGACGGGAGAAATAGGGACACAACGTCTATACCTCTCCTGAGACGACCATTCCCCCCCCGAGTACCCTTCAAACTTGACGACAACGTAAAGGGGGAG